CTAAGGGCAAGGGGCTAAAAGAGCACAAATAGCAAGCTGGTTGGGGAAGTTAAGGAGCGGAGTGCAGATGATAGCATGGGGAGAAGGAAAAGGACGAGAGAGTGAAACATGCTGTGGAAATAAAAAGAGGGATACAGAATAAGAGGCAAAAAGAAAAGGATGTTGAGAGAGAGAGCATCAAAGAAAGGGAGCTTAAGATAGAAAGTGAGAGAAAGATAAAAAGTGGAAGCGAGATACAGACATAAAAAAAAAAATATAGGGGACCCTTGAGCTTTGCGTTCTAAGTGTTGAACCTGATAATGATATCCTGTCGCTAGTGCGTACTTGAACCACTTGGTGCATGAAATCATTTCGGACATGCTATGCACCCGCCATGTAGCTTTAAGAGAATACGCTCACTAACTTGTGCACGTAATGTAGTGGATGACCTGTACTAATCCATGATGTGATCAAGATAATCTCATATTCTGACACCTGATGGTACTGCATTCTTTTACCACGCCTTATTACTGCAATGTTTTATGCGGTATTGTGTAGCATGGCACGTACAGGGCACGTGTTTTGATAAAACGTGAAAGTTATTTTCACTGCATTTTCAAACAGAAAAAGTTATTTTCACTCCGGTCATGCTATTAACGCTAATTGCATGCTGGGTTATATGCGCCGCAATTTTTACCTCTCTTACAGTTCTTTGAAATTACTTCTTTATAATTCTTTAGTTTGCTCCAAATGCTGCTGTATGGGACCCCAGCCAAGAATTGCTCATCTCTCAGCTCAAATATTTCCAGAGTCGGGCTGCTCATTTCATCCTTTCTAACTATAATCGCACATGAAAGCAAGCTTGTCATTGCCTCTGCCATTAGAATGTGAAAAAATGCTTCACCTCTGCCTGTTGCTCAAGATATATTATGAAAGAATTAAATTGATAATGCCTGCTTCGTAAGCATCTGCCCGCATCAACCATCGTCATAAGGTTAGTATTCGCGCATGCCGCACCGACCATTTTTTAAATTCATTCATCCTGCGTACTACAGCAAGTTGGAATCACCTTCCCTGATCGGTAGTCGAGATTGCTGATTATACTAAATTCAAGGCTGCTTTAACTAACCTGCAATTGTTTCAAAGCTATTATTTTTGTACCATTGCATTCCTCTACATTTTTAAGCGTCGTCTTAGTTTTCCTTTTTTGTTTGCCCCAATATTTTCGCATGTATTCCTTGGTTCATAAGCGCGTGCTGGTGCTCCGTGTGCTATTTCATTTTGTATCTTTACTGTGAAGCACCCTTATTTTCACTTTGTATTATTTAAAATGTTCTTTTCATTTTATACTGTGTGCTATTTATTGTCAGTTTTCTTCATAATATAATATGTTTTCACCCTAGCTTTTTTTCTATTTTTTATGAAAACATGTTGTACTGCGAATGTAACCCTTTCCCCGCTGTGATGTCCTCGAGCCCTGAGGGGAAAGAAAATAAATGAATAAATAAATCGGCAGACGCGTGGCTGTGTGATAGAACAACTGTTTGCCAAGCAAACGATTTGGGCTCATTTTACTCAGACCCGAAATTTTTAATAATTTATTTTATCTGCATGTTTCTTGATTTCCAGTTCATGCACAAGATTTAAATTATTCGCTCACAACCAACAATGTTCACGCCGGTGCTGTAATTTTTGCGAAACGAGCTCTTTGGTGTTGTCGTGTTAAATGGCGTGTCTGCTCTGGACCGATGTAGGTGGAGGAACCTGTCTGTGTTTCATGTTCTGATTGAATGTACATAAATCGAGATACAGTGGAAACTCCACTTTGCCAATGGTTTTTGAAGAACCATCTCATTTCATCTATTTCCACTTTTTTTTTTATCAGATAGCCAATTATTTCTCTTCATCAGGCTTTGTCTAAGCAGCCAAACACTTTCTTCAGTGTCTGTTCTTGAGACATAAGTCTCAGCCTTACCGTCATAGCTGAGGGTAAGTAACACTTGTATTCTGATGCTACTGGCTTGTTGGTTCCTACAACCACGAGGTCACTTGATGTGTAGCCACTTCATTCGTTAGTAGCCCATGTTTCAACGTGGTTTTATATGCAACCGTTTTCTTTATTTATGAGTTCTATCATCACTGCTGATCACATCCCCACTGTGAACAGCATGATAACAAATAATGTTTGTCATGGTGTTGAAATGATTGCGATTTTTATGCAAACATTCTTGTTATATGGGCTCACAGTAAACACATTTCGATAGGACATGTTTGACGTTCATTTTGTCACAGGGATAGAGAATGGGTGAGAAAGACAGATATCACACCTTTTGTGGTATTATTGCAATTTCGGTATCTTTATTCATGCACGTTTTGCATGCAGGACTTCTGTATTTTTAAATCCACACTAAATTTGGCTATAGTCATCGATCGCACCAATGCCTATTGAATTTACTTTTTCTGGGTGGTCTACTGGCAGTGTTTGAAGTATGCATTAGGGACAGCATATCGCTATCGCGTTCAGCTCTTGAAGACAGAGCTTAAGCGTCCCCCAATTTTTTTACTGATCTTTGTTTTTCAAGATTCATTCTGATCACTCCATTTTCGAGCTTGGAAACTTTGGTAATCACACTGAAAATTCATTCCATGTGTCATGGTAGAGAGACACACTGCTGTTCAAGAGCATAGTACATGCAGTTGTACTTGCTCGCTAGCTCAAGTCTCGCGTGTGTGTTGTCTTTGAAGCACAGCCTTTCATTATTATTACGACTCAAGAAAGGCACATTCTAAACATCCCGCAGTGTCTAAAACAAACTGTCTACACATTTGATTGCCTGGAATCAACAGTTGATGCACCCATCTTTATTTAGCCACAGAGCCTCTGTTTAATATAGCCTACCCACATATTTTGTGCTAAAATGAGGAAACAGACACTTAGCTCATTGGTTTGGTTCACGAAGCATTTGTTTCTTTCATATCTAATATGCTGCAACAACACACTGCCTCAATGTTCAATTTCATATTTTCTTTTTTTCAAATTCAAGTGCTCAAATTAATTGCCTTCTGTATAGAGGTTGTCTTTTCAAAAAGTAAGTAGTTTATTAACTAGGTACTGAAAAGTTGTCATTCAATTAAAATAATAAAAAAGTTTAATGAAACTCAGCTTATCTTGAGTGTAGTGTGTTGTTTGTGCTGGCTTTAACAGTTGTCTGTGTGCTTTCGCAGATGTGTCCATCCCTTAATAGAGAAACGAAGAAGTCTTATGCTTTGGATATTGCGAGAAAAACATTGCTCCAGTGTCCTCCCAAAAGTCGTTCATAATTTCACGATAATGTTGCTGCATAATATTTTGTGAACGTAGGATTGTGGTTAAGATGTGACCATGTCTGTGGACTGCTGAAAAAAATAGGTTTATTGAAACGAGTGAAAGTGACTATTCAACTTCTGCCCTTTTTGTCGATTGAAATTGGGAAGAATGTCATAGATTGTTTTGCGATGTTTATGTATTATCAGCGTGAAGCAGTATTGTCTGTTTTACAAAGCTCTGAATGATTTTAGCCTAATGCACTTCTTCACACATCTGAATGTGCCGAGAGAAATAAATTTGCATCTAAGCGAGGGCAACACTCGGTAGTGACACTTTGATTTTACACTGCAGAATGTACGCATGTAGTGGCAACCTGGCGTTACTTTATTATGTATTATAACTTTTAAAACATATGTGCAAGTCTGTGTTGTGTTTTCTAGTCAACGAAATCTGTGATCTGGACTAGCGAACTTTTTTTTTTTTTTTCAGTTCCGCTGACTGAGCAACAACCATGTCAATTCACTTAACATTCTTATTGAATACCATTCTTGATTCGATCATTTGTATATTTATTTGTCCATTCTCTCAGTGATGCTTAAAATGCAAGCAGTGCATTGAGTTGAGTGCTCTGTTTTTTAATATGTCCGAGGAAGTGGGGGCATTCTAGTATATAAGGACAGTCGTATAAGTGCGATGGGCATTGTCTGCATTCAGTGTACAGTAAAAGCTCGATAATTCGAACATGTTTGTTGGTCGAGGGAGGAATCTACATTGTTCAATGGCATGACGCTCTTGTAATTTGATCATATTCGACCTAAACCCACTCAACGCGTACGGTGATCGGAGAGTGCCGAGAACGAAGCGCCAGCCAAATTACTTGCGAAAAAACATGTGTGCGTGGCGCAGGTAATAGTAGTGACTGTAGGGAAGGTTGTGGTGCAGAACACCTTTCAGGCTTATTGAAACGGGTCTCGTGAAGCTTGGCTGCTTTGGAACAAAATATCAGGATGACAAAAGTTACGACTTTTTTACTTCTGAGAAATATTTAGAGCATTTACAGATTGATGAAGAATTGGTAAATGGTTTTATTTTTCAAATATCTTAAACAAATAATTTTGGTAGTTTGGCATTTTGTCCATTTAAATGCATTGTCCAGTCTCGTCAAATCCGAGCTAATGAGCTTTGAACATACTTATTTGATAAATGGGAATTAGTGCTCGTATGTCTGTTTGAGTAAATGTCTGGAACGTTATATGTTGCACAGCTTACTTATGTTTCATGTAATCATAACATTGTCACTAAAGTAGTTTAGAAGCGAGAATGGGAAATGCGTAAATTGCACAGGTACACTGAAAAACACATTTCTCAAGTCTGCATAAATGTGCCAGCATTTCTGACAACCAAACTGTTATATCGTTTCCATCCGTTTTGAATGATTCATTTCTCATTTTGTTATAATTTGTGGTTTGTTTCATGTGGACCTTGTACACTAATATTTCATTTCTTATGCTTCATTTGATGACATATGAAGTTGTTTGGTTAGTGTGCAAAACTTTAGGGATTTTTCTATGGGAACAAAAAATAAGTACAATAAATGTTTTCTGGGCTAGGGCCTTATTTATTGGCGTATTATAAATAAATTTTGTCATTTAGGGATAGTATAAGAACTACATCGATATTGCATTCCTGCACATTCACTGGATGTGCTTGCACTATTAGACATAGTATTTACAAACAAAGAGAGAAACTCTTTGTAACCATTTTGTAGCTCGGTTGTGTTCCAGTAACATGTGGCTTGCTGATGCAAAGGTTATTGTGTACTTCATCTACAAGTGCAGTAATTTTTTCATTTCCTCATGTTCTAGTGATGTTCTAGAGAATGCTTGTCCATGGCTTCCAATGCCTTCCTCTTGTTTCTGTGGTTTTGCAGGCTCCTTGTCTTCGGCATTCCATAAGGAACACGATTCACTCGTGCCCGTACAAGGCAAACTGTTTTTGTGTAGTCAGTGCGGCTATGTGAACAAAAAAAGAGGGCTCATGCGAACACACCTTCGCAAACACTGGGCAAGCGCCCCTTCCAGTGCCACCTGTGCCCAGCTGCATATACTCAGAAAGGGAACCTCAATGCCCACATGCGCACCCACACAGGGGAGCGTCGCTTTTCCTGTGACTGCTGCAGTGCATCGTTCTCAAAGAAACAGTCCCTTGTGGATCACATGCGCACTCACACAGGCGATTGTCCATTTTCCTGTGACCAGTGCAATGTGTCGTTTGCAAAGAAGACCAGTTTCACTAGGCACATGAACACACACAAAATAGCGTCCATTCTTCTGTTGCCACTGCAATGCATCTTTTTTATGAAAACAACAGCTTGTAAACCACGTGTACCATCATCATACAAGAAAGTCAAGATAAAAAGTGAGTTGTGTACAGACCCTTTCTTTAAGGGGACATGCAAGTCAAGGCTTTTTTTTTAATTTATAAGACAGTGTAATGAACTTTTCGCTTTTTACATAACTTTTTATACTGATTTCAGATATGTAGTCAGTTTGTTATTGATTTGCACAACTTTGTTTTCCACCATGACAATCTCTAAAATATAACTTTTTTCGAACAATCTTTTTCTGCCACTAAACTTTTTTTATTATGTGCGATTAATGGCTGATATTGCTCGACAAGAACTATAGAATGCAAGTAAGTATTAGGAATGTAATAATCTTAAGAAGCTTGCGAAAATATCATCTTGGGGAAAATTCAGTTTAAGTGTAGAAATCAAACCTGATCTTTGTGGCAAAGAGGTGCTTTTTAAAATGATTTAATTCGTTACAAGACCTTGGGAATTATTGCTGTCTTGGGCACGTGGATTTCACGAACTACTCATGCAAAATTTAATGTCTTGTAGACAGGTGGCAACTTCCAGGGGACTCTAGACAGTGAGCATTTGGTAGTTCTTTTATAGCCACATTGTACTCTTTAAGGGCAATTTTAATCCACTTCTAGTTTAAATAAAACCTTGTTTTTTTTTTTTTTTCATCATAAACGCCTCTCTGGTGAAAGGCTGCTAACGAAAAACTAGGCATTGTGAAACACCTTGATGAAGTAATTAGTCAGAAAAGCGAAGGTGTGAAACGAAAGAGTGAACTTCCTGAAGTCTTTACCGATCTTGGTAAAATCGAGCTCGCATACAAGATCAAGCTTAGGAAAGGTGCTGCATCACTAGCATTGACCTCTCCTTGAAAAGTTCTCGCACTGTTAATGTTGAAAGCCAAGGTAAAACTACAAGAGATGGTTGAGCCTTGAGTCATTAAGGCAGTGGAAGAGCCAACACAGCGGTGTTCTGGAATGGTCATTGTGCAAAAGCCTAATCGAAGTGTGTATATATACATGGACCTGACCGAGCTTAACAAGTGTGCAAAGTGAGAGGCTGACCCTCTGCCTGTGAGTCAGCATGTATTTACGCAACTTGTCGGAGCTCAGTGTTTCTCCGATGTTGACACCAATTCAGGATTTTCACGATAGTGAAGTTTCTTTTGGTTGGAATAGTGTACAAATAAAAAGGACGTGAGACCACTGAACAAAAAACACCCCGCACCATTGTCTGTGTCGTCCTACTGTCAGGTGGCGTGTTTTTAGGGCTTGTTTTAATTACAACTATGTCATAAGAAATTGCCTAAGCTTCCAAACTGCTGTATGTTCATGGCTGCAGTAGCGTAAATTAACGTGATCAAGAGAAAAGGAAAGAACAGTACCCAACCTAGTCTTCCAAGTGATCTTTATTATAGATAAGTGAGTGATTGACACAAGACAATAATTACGTGGTTACAATGTGTTCAGATGATGGTGCGCGTCGAGTGCTGCCTTGAAGCCAGAAGCTTAGACGGGTCCCGGATTCATGCGGTGGCGCCGCAGTCGCATGGGCTGTAAGGATGTGTGGTACGGCCGGTTGCAGCGTCTTTGCTGAACTCTGGCTTGCTGGTGCACAAACTTGGTATTTCTGTCTCTTGTTAAGGGTAGTGAGGTATTGTATATTATAGTGAGGTATTTGTATATTCATGGACCTCTCAAAGCCAACATAAGTTGGAAAAATTCTTTTGTATTGTGACACCTGCGAATCCAATAGATATGTGCATGCACGTGATGAACAATCCCGGGCAGCTGCCTTGTTACTGTGCCGTTCCGAATACCGGACACTGAGACTACGGGAACTGGTGCTTACCGACTCTGCAGTCTACGCTTGTGCGGTTAGGATTTAAAAAATGGGTAGCTGTACATACTGTCATTCATCATAGTTGCTTTCCAAATACTGTTTTATATTTGTCTTTGTGAAAGATTTTAGTTACTCACAAACCATGGATGACACATAATGTATATCAGTCACTTCTTTGATTATGTGTGCCATTTCCACTTGAAATATTGTTCAATAGAAAATGTTTTCCTTTCTTTTTCTTTTGTCGGGAGCATTTGAAGGGGGCAGGCTGTCGTGGCTTGGTGTAAACTCAGGCAAAATCACATGTAGCATAGCCAGCTGTAGCCCTTTGAGCGTGTAAAGATAAGTCTTTTTTCCTGTTGTTATTGACGTGCACCTTCTGCACTAAATGGCCCCTTTTACACATTGCAATATTGTTGCACTCATTTACTATCAATGCTGTAATTTCATGCTCAGTGGCTTAATGCATTGTTTTTATTGTATATTTGAAAAGAGACTACCTGTTTTAGTAAGCACAAATTGTGTACGAATCATTTAGAGCCTTGTCATGACTGTCTTGGTTTTTACATTGTGCTTGGAGGAGGCATCACTTTATGTTTAAGTCTGTTGCTACATCCGAGTAGTATCTCAAGTGGCTTTTTTAGTTTTTGTTTCACTGCATACGCTGTATGTACTGTCCTGTAATCCATCTTAGTGAGCTTAAGGGTTACAAGTTATTAGGGGATGAGACCATATTCACGGAAATTCTGAGCACTTGCCTTTTTTTGCCAATTTTTGTCATTGCACAACTCACTAGGTAGCTGCAGCTGTCCTTCGTTCATATTTTTCTTCAAAAAACACGGTACCCATGCCAGTTCTTCAAACGAAAAGGCATATGCAATTTTAAGGGGAGATGTGAGTAAAAAAAAAATTGATTTTTTTCCAAAATTAGATATTTTTGTTTTTATGGGCTCTTGCAAGTTTAATTTCTCTACTTTCACGGCAGAGGTTGTAACTAAACTCGAAGTACGTTAAAATCACTTTTAGTCCGCTCAAGGTGGCTACTAAAAACTAAAAAGAGCTCAATGTCTAGACTTCCTTGGAAACTGTAACCTGGCTACTTATTATACAGTTTTGCATGAGGAGTAAACGAAAGCCACATGCTCGAAATAAGGATGATCCCCAAGCTCTACATGGTGGAGAAAATTATTAACAAAATAAGACATATAATTGCTATATAAATGAGCTTCAACTTACCTTTAAAAGGCATTTTTTTCAACATCGACTTTTGCGCCAGCTTTAGAGTTTTGACGTGGTGTTTTTGGTACTTCTGATAGCTAGATCAAGATAAAATTTCGCCCCAATATTTCTTCACATGTGAAGGGTACAAGTATCTCTTTAAAACATAGTATCGCCTGTATAATTACTACAAACCTAAAGCAAGCACGTATTATGGACTGATGATTCTAATAATTCTCAGATCACCATTTTTCTTGTCCATAAAAATGTCTTATATGCACTTTCTTAATACTAATTTGCATTCTACAGTTATTCTGAAGCACTATGAGCCATTAATGGCTTAAAATCATGAAAGATTAACGGCTTAAAAAGTTTGTCCAAGATGAACTTTATTTTACACATTGTCGTGACACTCACCAAAAATAGCTCAAATTATTTTAAAACTAATTACATATTTGAAATGGCAATAAAAGCCTTTATATACAGCAAAAAAAAAATCCCGTTCCCGAAGCTCAACAATGACAAAATTTTTCTATTTGCATCTTACCTTAACTGCAATAAAATACATCGTTGTACGAAATATTAAAAAAGTAGTAGCATTTATGAATACACTGGGCAGTGCACGTACAGAGAGCACTGGCAAACTACATAAAAATTTAGACCTTATTGACCTTTAAAAGCACTTTGATAAGTTATATTGAGGTACTTCAAATAATAGTTTGCTGGGTGCCAGGTCATGTTGAGAGGCAGATCACAGGCACATGGGGATTAGTAGACAGCCAAAGACGCAGGCCTGACAAGGTCAATGTGCTATATCAAGATCTGTAAGTGCTTGTTCTCCACTTTCTGCTGTTGGCAGAGACAATATGGTACAGTGTAATTAATGACCTCTTTACTGGCTTGTACTTTTGTGGTATCAGTCATTTGTAAGTTTCTACCAGGATTGGGCCATTCGTTCTGAAGCCAACAATGTTTTTGTAGCTCTTGATTTACTGTGATCTTGTGTCCTTACATTCTTTTTATTTCTTGTGTATTGTATTATCACTTGTGATGACATCTGTGTTACTACCAATTGAAGACAGGATTGATTTTTTAGACTAATATAGCAAATACCTTTTGTCAGGGAGTTAGAATTTCTGTTGTTTTTACGTAAACACTTTTAGCACCTGTGGTCATGAAATATGCCACTCAAAAGTACATGTTAAACATTGGTTGCACACATGTCATTGTAACTTTATAGGTATTTTTTATATATTCTGCACTTTCTTTGCTGAGGAATTAAAGTCTTTTTATAGCCATTATGTTTACATTTGGCCATATTCAATGATCAAACGAAGGCATGTACACCTTACTTTGATTTGATGCTTTATTTAGCCATTGGGTCAATAAACCCTACTACAAATGAAAAACAGTAAAAAAAAAAATACATTGCTTTTGCATTATTTGTCCCCCAGCCTTCACTTTGTAGCACTTGAGATTATCTGGCCTCTCTCAGTAAATACTTTGCAGCCTTTCACGTGCTATTTATTTTTACTGACACATGTTTTTCAAAATTAGTGCTCGTCACTCCGTCTTGCAGGATGAAAAATCCAGTAGCAACGCTGGAAACTTGTTGTTCCATGTGTCCAGTAGAAAGAAAACCAGTGTTGTATGAAGTAGTAGTGTACAATATTGTCTTTACTTACTTGCTAAAGTCTTGCATGTGTCTTTTTGTTTTAAATACAACACTTCACCATTGCTAAAATTCGAGTAAGATGCCTCCTAAGCGGCCTACAACATGTAAAAGAAATTGGATACGCACTTCATTCCTTACGTCTACAGGTAATACACACATCTTTATTTTGCCAAATTGGGAACATTCAATATAGCGTACGTGCATATAGTGCTCCGAAATGAAGAAACGGGTACTGAGAGCATCAGTTGAGTTCACTGGGCATTTGCATGTTTCATATAATATACCCTACTACAATGCACTTCAATGTTCAAGTGCTCC